AAAACAACCGTAGAAGTTGTAATGATCTTTTGAGGAAGTGTGCATATGGAAAATACAGCATGAATTGTAATAAATCTTAAAGACATAATTAATTACATAATATCATGTAAGGATGTAATTCAGAGGTGTCAAAAGTGAATCCATGTTTATTAATCCAGTAGAGGTATGAATCCTAGCGTTTAAAAACACCAGATGTTAGAGTACCAACTTGTTTTTAACTCTATTAAATAGTAAAAGGACCATTTTTAAAACTTCTTAAAGTATAAAAGTAAAAATAATGCAGCAAAAAAATGTTAGGGACAGAAGCTTTACTGCTCTACCCTATTGAAGGAAAAAATGTGTACAATTCTGGATGATAACTTTCTTAGATTTCATTTTCTTAATTTTATATCTAAAGGTAACAGTGTCAAATTTAACTTTGTATCATTTGAAAAACTATTTATTTTGGTATGTGGCAAGCAACAAGTTGGGGCAACACCGAGTCTGACCGCAAAGAAATGAATTGTCTGAATGAAACTCTTTTTTTTTATTATTTGTAATTTTTTTAATACCAACAGGCCATAATAAAATAAGTTTAAATTAAACAAAATTAATGAGTCTGTTTTTAAATGTAAGGAGTAGAAAATTTTGAGCCATCATACACATTTCCTAAAACACTATTGCTTTAAGTTTGTAATTTAAAAGAAATCCTACAACTTCTGAGAAGTATGACATCTAAACATCGAGAGTAAAAGCATCAATAAGACACAAAGGAACTAAATAAGATCTTGTTGTTTTATTCAATAAATATCAAGATAAAGTCACCCGTTTCAAGGAATACTAAAAGTTAAGACAAAATCTTTGAGGTTGAGTAACAGAAAACATAAGGATAGCTTGCACACCGTTTCCCTGAGTAAGATGGAAATATTTACAGTTTTTACAACATCTCCATGAAAACTACCTAAAGGTAACAACCTGATAAGTTTTAACTGGATTTTCATAAAGAAATATGGCTTTAAGATCATTGACCTCCCAGGAGGAAGCAGCTCAAACCCTGGAGATAAAATAAGCTATAATGAAAAAACAAAGATAACAAAAGAAAACTCAAAAATCCTAAAATAAACATTGCAGTTTTAGTTCAGAGGTCATTCTGATACTAAATCTGATACCAGTGAGCCTGAAGCTGCCTTTGGCCTTTTAAAGCTGCTCAGTCGTCTTCTGGGAACTTGAACTTTGCGTAAACGATGAGCATAACGATGGACATGACGATACACAGGGAACCCACGACGAGGTAAGCAATGCCCAGGAAGTCGTTCTTTCCTCCCATCCAAGACACGTTGCTGAGCACCACCTTCTTCCTGCCGTTGAAGCTCACAACGGGATAGTCTTAGGGAAAAGTGTTAAGGTTATACATCAGGTTTGGAACTCCAAACACTTTATAATATAACAAAAACATATTTTTCTGCCAGAATGCATAGAAATCTCCAAAATATGATAAGTAGAATTTTTCTAAGTAAATAATTTATAAAAAAAACTCTATCCAAAATAACAATGGCAGCATTTGGACAGAATATGACAAAAAAAAAAAAAATTCTATTTGTTTTCTCTTACCTTTCTTTGGGGAAATATTTAAATAAATGCGTGAGCATTTGGCAGCAACAAAAACAACAGAGTTAGCGCTCTTACCTTATGTAAACATCTTTTACACACAAACAGTGGTTCAAATAAGGGCTTCTACTTTTAAAGGAAAAGTCCGCTCATATTCAGAATTCAAACTTCTGAAAGTACTTTAAATATCAAATTATTCCAAACTGTTCAGTAAATTATAAGTGTTTTTAAATCAGAGTAATTTTCATTTGAAGGCATTTGTGCTTTACTGGAGGCATCCATGTTTGTCAAAGAACACTACTGCCACCTACTGGTTTGTGACGTCACGGTGCGGTATCGGCTG